CGCCGGAATGGCCCGGGCTGGGGCCGCGCCTGACGGCCGTCAGCTTCGCAGCCGGGATGGACGTGTTCGAAGCGCCCTCTATGGTTGGGAAGAGGAAGGGCCTTCACCACGCGGAGGCCGCTTTTGGGGCGTGGCGCAGATCTGGGAGTCTTGGGCTTTGGGACTCCTTAGAGAAGAGCCAGGATTTATGGTGAGGGACTTGCTCTGTGTCCCAGGAGTCGTGCTGTGTATGTGTGTTTTGGGGGCTTCCAGGCCCGCTGGCTAGGCTGCTGGTTTGGAGGAGTCTGGTCTACCCCCCTCCCCCCATGCTGTTTTGCTGGGTGCAGCTTGCTCAGTGGAGAGGTCCCCAGTCTGTCCTTACAGCACTGACTTTCTGAGCCTTCATAGCCTGGGTCTCTCCAGGCCAGAGGTCCAGGGTGGGGGTCTGGACCTCACACCGACAGCGGAGGCCGGAGGGCTCCTGTGTCCTTGGCCAGACTCCCCCTCTAAAACTCCATGTCTGGCCATGTTCAGCACTTCTGAAGCAGAATGAGGAGCCCGGCTGGCCAGGCACCGCAGTGTGCCGGGACAGCCCTCCTGGGGGCTGCCAGAGGCGGCAGGTGGATTCCTATGGATGGACTGTCCGAAACTGGCCCACTTGGCCGTTTTCCCTAATCAGCCAGGGCAGGCTGTGCAGGCTGCACACCCACTGCTGTTCTTTGCTATTTTATTTTCCTGTGTGAGATACTTGAGGGCCCCAGGGCTGCTGCATGGGGGGCCAGGGCTCAGCCCAAAGGACCTGTGGTCTCCATGTCCAGAAAGGTCTGTGGGGCCTGCTGAGAGCTGGTCTTCCTTTGCATGGAAATCAGACTTCCAGCCTCAGAGTTGTCTCACTCCATCAAAAGCTAGCAATTAATTTTTGATCAAGCTTTAAAACACATTTCGTCTTTTGTGGGCCATTTCTTGCATCTTTCTCAGCCCCTGATCTATGGAGGCTTGTGGTGGGAGGACACCCCATGGGTCCAAGGGCTTCATCTCCGGAAAACGCTGAGGGTGTGCGGAGGAAGCACAGAAGCTTTGCAAGTTCCTCCCAGTTTCTGTCTGCAACGGAGCCTCCCACTTGAGGTTTAAAGCAGAGGGGCTGAGGTTCCCCCTAGAAAGGACACCCTGCGAGTCTAGAACAGTTTCTGTTTCTGGTCAGCCTTCTCTTCAAGTGTGTTTATGTGGAAGGGCAGGAAACAGATCTGTTCTCGAAGGCTCTTGGGCTCCAACCCAGCCCTTCTTGGTGACAGAGAGGGCCAGGCCGTGCTCTTGCCCAGCCACTGAGGCACCACCAGCCTGGACCCCCCCCCGACCTGTGGACAGACTTAGGTCCCCTGCCCTTACACCCTGCCCTCCTTCTTCCAATCAATTATACTCACCACACATTTATCTCCCCTGCAATACGGAGAATTCATATTCATACCTCGGTTTTAGTGGTCTGACACTGATGAATGTCATCCTCGCCTGGGCTTGGAGGGGTGGCCACCGATGAATCATGCCCTGTGAAGTTCCCTTGTCCTTGTGCGTGGGACTCTGGCAGACTCTGCTGGGGGCAGGGAGGCTGTGAGGAGGAAGGATGAGAGCACAGGGCGGCATAGGTACCTGGGGTAGCAGCGCCCTGCCACGGAAGGGGCATTGGGCCGCCCTGGCCCCTCGAAGGAAACCTCCGGGCATTTCTGTCCCACAGTGCTCAGCTATTGCCTCTCCCCTCTCCGGAGGTACAGCTGCCTGGTCTCACAAGGCAGGAGCAAGGATCCAAGAGGGGTCTGGGCACCCATGGAACCTGGATTTGGAGACCGTGTTGTGCTCTGGAAAGTGACAGACCCTTTGCCAGTGCCCACATCATGTACATGGTGGGGAAGAAGAGGCCAAGCCTTGGAGCATCATTTTGCTGGGTGGGGGACAGAAGAGGGTGGCTTCTCTGGCAGCTGTGGGCTTCGAGGCCACTTGGGCTAGGGCTGTAGCAGGACAGAACACCCTCTGTGTGTTTCAGGCCACTTCCGGATGGGGCCCCGGGACAGGAGACAGCCAGCTCTGGGCCTCCCTTGTCCTGATCCTGACACTACCTGAGCTCCTGGTGCCCCAGTCCTGTCTGGATCAGCCCAGGGAGAGGGTGGAAGGAGGGCTGGGGGCTCCTTGGGGGCGGGTGGCAAAGCCCACCACTCCCTCCAACCTGGAAGTTCCTTGACTGGGCTGCTCACCCCAGGGCATCAGCTCTGCAGCTGCCTTTCAGCAAAAGCCAGCAGTCCCGGCCCTGCTCAGCTGGGCGGACTTGGCCCACCGCCTTTCTGTGCTCTAATTATGGCCGTATAGTTGAAAGGCCTCAAAGGTCACCCCGCGGGGGCTGCTGGGGCCTTTGTAGCCTGTGGACAGGCATAGGACCCTTCCTGTGGGAGGAGGATGCCGGAAGTACAGGGTCATCTGCCCGGCTGGGGAGGCTGGACCTGGAGGTGGGCACCACCCTGTGGAGCTCAGAAGCCCGCTCTCAGGGGCCCTTGAAAGGGGGTTGATTTGTTTCCAAATGGATTCGAAAGGTAACTTTTAGAGGGAAGAGAGGAGTTCCTAGGCAATATCTGTGTATATACCTGTCTACCAGAGCAGGCATCAGGTGTATTTTTAAACATTTGCTTCTGATTACGGAGGGCTTGTGACAATCGGGTGAGCACTGCCTTGGGCAGGCTGGGATGCGAGAGAGCTGGCTGCAGGGCTTAAAATCCTGAGCATGTGCTCGAGGGCTGGGGAGGAGGTGCCTCTGAATCCTACGCCTGGGTGCCTTCTTCATCAGCATCCCTGCAGGGGGATCCGGGAAGGGGGAAGGACCCCAGGCCTGGCCGGAAGTGGTAACCAATGGGCACCCAGAGTCTGCGAAGGTCCGCGTTCCAGGCCCCCACACTGTAACCAAGGCCAGCCTGAAGGACTGGAAGGCTGGGTCCTAGGGAGGCAGCCTGGCCCAGGCCCAGACCTGGGCAGTGGCAGGAGC